GAGAATACACTGAACGCCCAAAATATGTACAATTAAAAATAAATTAAAAAATATATATATAAAAAGAAGCGTAACCAGATACTTAAGAAATGTTAGCTTGAAGACAGTAAAATAAAAAACTCAGTCATCTTCAATTATATTAACCTAAAAGTTATGTGAATGCTTAATATGTACATGTGGCACTGTAAAGAGAATGAGAGTAAATATCAGCTTTAAGAGATCTCCTTAAAGAATTCAGGATTCTAAACCATTCCAGGGAAGGCTGTAAAGTTTTCTCATGTTTTTAAAGACAGGACAGGAAAGCATCTTAAGACAATTAAATATGGTTCCACAAATATGTATTCCATATGCTAATTACTCTGATACGATCATTGCATTCTGTATTAATGTACCAAAATATCACATTGTACTCCATAAATATATATAAATATCATGGATCAATTAAGAAAAATTAAAAAGAAAAAAAATTTTAGAGACAGAAGTAGATTAGAGGTTTCCAGAAACTGGGGGGAATAAATAATGTGAAGTTACCGCTTAATGGGTACAGACTTTATGTTTAGGATGATGAAAAGTTTTGGAAATAGACAGAGGTGGTTGTCACACAGCATTGTGAATGTAACTAATTCCACAAAATTGTATGTTTAAAAATGTTTGAAATGGCAAACCTTATATATATATTTTTTACCATAATAATAATAATAAGGTATATCTCAGACTCACAAATGTATCACTTCATTTAGGTGAAAGCAGGGAAGGAAAACATGCTTAAAAATATGTTCTTATTTTGTTTTCTCCAACTCAAAATTTTTTTCTCATATTGAACTTTTTGAAAAATCACCTTGTTTGAAGTCTTTTTGGAAGTCACAAGTAAAAAATACATTAGTAGCAATGTTACTCACAAATTGGTTTTATTTTCACATGTACAACAGAATTAATATTCCATTAGGAGCTTACATTCATTGCAGCATTGATTTTAGCAATAGTGTCATCATCTGTAGGGAACTGGTATATTTGGATGCCATTGCTGACCAACTCGCTCATGAGCTTGATCTTAAACTTCTGTAATTCAGTTTTAGAAATCGCATCTGCTTTGGCAATCACTGGTATAATGTTCACCTATTAAGAATAAAGAAAAACAAAATCTCATAACTGAAGATTTGTTTCTTAATCCTGCAGTCACTTTTTTACTCAAAACCATTTAATCTCTGACAATAAATTTCCTTAACCTAGATAGTTGGCAAACTAGGTCCAGCTCACTGCCTATTTCTACAAATAACAATTTAATGAAACACCACCATACCCCTTTGTTTACATATCATCTACGGCTCTTTCATGAGTAGTTGCCACACAGACCACACAGACCACACAGCCTGCAAAGCCTATAGTATTTACTACCTGACCCCTACGCAGAAAAAGCATGCCAACCCCCGGCCTAGAAAATCACTGGATGTCACTCTCCTTTATATATACCCCTTATACAATTCTTCCTGTAGATGCTGACCTTACATAATGGCCTTTTAAAAAGCAGAGCTCTTGTAAAATTAATGTTTCATTTGAATTTAGGTTTAGAAATCTCATTTTCCTTTTTCTACCTCAAAGTCTCTTACAATTCTATCACAAACAAAATAAGTAAAATGTAATAAACAGTAAGCTGAAATCACCTCCATAATTCACTGAGAATTTTGATTTCTTAATCATCTAAGTGCTAAGTTAAGGTGACTGATCCCTCAGCACAACTAAGAAACATGGGAGTTTCTCTTCCTGCCTCTCGTTTCAGCACTGACTCCATCCCTATCTGCCCCAGTTGTCAGAGACTTCTGCCTAGATAGCACAGGAAGAAAACTGCACCAATACCAACTAAACGTGTTCATGACACAGACAATAACTTTATCAGCATTATTTAAAGTCCTATCACTGCCACAGAGGAAGAGTTTGGGGTCGTGAAGATCAACTAACTTATAAATCTAGTCCTGTAAGAGACTAATGTCCCCACAAAAGACGGACGTCCCCACAAACTTGGGGTTGGCGTTTCTTTCTGTTTTTGGTTTTTTTGTTTGTTTTTAATTAAAAACCTCACGATAACCAGTCACATGTGTCAAGAGAGTGAGATCAAAATGTAATATTCAGAATAAAAGATAAAGTAAGAATCACATTCCTATTCTGCTCTTAAAATTTCTTCTCTAATTTCACACTAATTCAATGTGTATATGTGAATTTATTAGTCTTCCATACACTCCAAAGGAGATAAAGATTTTTCCCACTTCTATGAAATTAATGGCAGAAAACTTTCAAACAATTGTGAGTAAATAGCTTTCATGTCAAACTAATCAAAGTATATAATAATTTTGATGCCAAGTCACTGGTCTCAATATTATATACTTAGATATTCAATAAATTATGCCAAGTTAGCAACTTATAATTTCTTCCACATTAGATTACAGAAGTGGAGTGACTGCTAAGCACCAATGTCTGTGTGTGTCTATCAGAGGGAGGGAAAGTAGCTGACGTTGCCCAAGGATGTTCACTTGTCACTATTTGCATAATGTAACTGTCCACGTCAAGCAGTCAAGTGTTTGGCTTTTAGGAACAAAGGACAACTATTTTGAGGAGGCCTAAGAAACTGGAAAGAGAAGCCAGCAAGACACTTCCCACCTTTATGTAGCCCTCTTATGTAAATGTGGATTTCTCTATACCTGCCAGATGGTGTGTGGGTAACAGCTGCCCCTACAAAAAACTTGTGTATGCGTATACAATACACACTAAATAAAGTAATTGAAGCATATCTTAGTTTTCCCTTTAAACTTGTAACAAAGCTTAGGTGTAACATTCCTGTTTGGTTTGTACAAGAGAAAGCTAAAGGCAGGATTTTGACAAAGAAGTCCCAATTTTAGAATCTGTCCCCTATCAAATAATAAACTAGAAGACAGTAGTGACAATCTTTAAATGAGTACACAATAGCCATGATCTTTTACTGTTACTATAAAACATTTCATTTTGGTTTAAATGAAATAAGGTATAGTTCAAAAGATAATATTGTAATGCCTTCCAAGGTCTTTGGTAGCATGTAATATGCATCTAGAGTCACTGTTATGAGTCAGCAGGTTGGACTGCTGGTCCAGAGATGTGCTGCTTCTGAACAAGGGCTCATTGTCTCCTCTATTTATTCCTGAAAATCCACTGAGGATTTTAAATTGCTTCTGGCTAACTCTTCTCAAAGACTCTGGAAGACTCAAAGGTAGCTGGGTTGGCCAATATCTCCAATATCAATATGTAAATATTCTGAGTGAGACTGTGCCTGCTAAATTAAAAAACAATTTTAAGATAACAGAACAGTAAGTAACATGGGTGCTTCCTTATGTGCCAGGCATTGTGCTAAATGTTTTGTAATTAATCTCAGCTAATTTTCACAAAAGTCATAGAGTGGGCTCTCTATCCCCATTTTATAGATAAAAAAAACGAAGCCCGTTACTTTGCCCAGGGTCCCAACAGTTGGCAAGTGGTAGTGCTCAAGTTGAGCCCAATTCGTCAACATGACAGCCACACTCTAACACCCTCAACTGCCTGTTTTATACGAGGATAGTGTATTGAGCCAGGCAGGCCTTGGCTAACTATGAAACTACCTTCTTAGACAAAATAACAGAGGCAGGTGCTTGTTTTTACAGGGTAGTTTACACTTTATCATAATAATTAAAGAATATCTTCATATCACTGAAGCTGGAGAAAACTAGATAATATATATGTATATACTGTACTAAAACAAACTTTTGTTCTATGACATATAGTTATACTCTGGCTGTTGAGAAGGGAAAGGGTGAACCAACATCTTTTGCATGCTTATATATTTTGCATATGACAT